CTCATTTTATAGCTTATTGAACGATTCAATACATTTTCTCAAGTAAACTATTAGGATTTTATGCTTGTTATTTTCGGGTGGATTTATACTCAAAGTTTCCATGTAAACCTAATCTATCAAAATGGTATGGTTGAACAACAACGCGGTTTATTTCACAATTTTCTACTGCTGAATTTATGTGACAGAAATTTTGTGTTGCTCATTATTTTGGTAGGTTTCTTTCACTAGATCTGTTTGGACATATAGTTCAGCAGAGATCGATAGCAACTGGAAAATAAGTGATGAGCAATGAAACTTATATAAGTGTGTAGCGTGGCGTCGAGTTGAGATTAACTATGAACACCGCTACAAAGAAACACGTGCCAATTAGATCAGAAGGCGTAAGAAGCTCGTTCCAAATGACTCCATAAAATCCCCAAGAAGCCGAATACCAGAAGGCAATTAATGGACCAAGTCGATGTTTATTTGCTGGCGATCCCGTGGCATCGAAAGGATACCGAGATCGTGCCAGGATACAAGCTTGGTTACAGAACGTAACCGAATTCGCGCGAAGTTACAATCAAAGTGTGTGTATAAGAATGGAAGCACAAAATAGCTGTCATTAGCACAGTCAAACAAAAGCACGTTAAAACAAACACTGGTACAGTTGATTATAATAATAATTGTTTTTATTAAACCAGTCGTGTTCTCGTGATAAACGTGAGTCACTACAAGTGTTTAACCCCAGTTGAGGAATTTTAGGAAGTGCTCATTGACGACCATACCAGAATCCGAGCAAAATATCAGTCAGTTCCAGAGACAGCAAGTTAGTAGTAGACTACTGGAAGTCTGCTTCAAGTAAATTATGACATAAAATAACATTGATGATACATGTCTTACTTTTGATAAGATTCACATCTCAATCACAATTTTATCGAAATTCTGTGTGAGCTCTTCATTCTTCAACGTACTTTGTTCAGTGTTGAAATGTTGTGATTACGAATTTTAAGTATGAGAGACAAAAACAATAAAATGGTGATTAAAATATAAAATGCTATCAAAGTGTGAAATCGTCACGATTCGTCTGAATAAATAGTAAACCTTTCTAGGACAATGTGATATATTATTAATAAAGAGGAATTTAATTTTCTAAAACCTATGGGTTCCGAGTACCCTCATTTATATGGACTACCTAAAATTCACAAACCTAATGTTCCTTTACGTCCAATTCTATCAATTTGCAGATCACCTACACATAATCTGGCTAAATGGTTAACAAAGTTGTTGGACCCTATTCGAAGACATCTATTTGACCTTTTATTTTTATATATAAATGCTCTTAACAAGTATATGTGTGACCAGATTGTTCAAAATGTATTGCGCTAATATATCACATAGTTCTGATAATCTTCGACTTCTAATATCATTATCGAAATTTATCAAAAGGACTAATTGTTTTAACTTTCTAGAACAGTTTCACATTGCTTAGAATTTAGAAAATCATTTCTAAATTTGGAAACAAGTTGAATCCAATGGCAGGCATTTCAATTACTTCTAAAGAACATGTAATAAATTTATTTTAGACTGAAGCTATGCGAAACTATTTTAGAAAAGTTTACTATATATTGAGACAAATTAATCAATCTTGTAGATGCATGATGCTACAAAATCCTTCTGATTTTCACTATTAAATTAAAATGACGCTAATTACTGTTACTGGAATTATTCGCTTATCATGTGTTATTCCATAACGATTGTTGCGTCTTAACTAAATTTATGCCAAACAATCATTCAAATAAAAGTTATAATCTGATTTCATCAGTGGTAACACGCATTAAAAAACAGATACATTTTAACAGTAGGGGGTTTGTAAAAATTATAACTTTTAGCAGTCGGATTCACAAGTCTGTCTAAGATAAACCAGCACTGGAGACCTGCAAACACTAGATGGGTGTTTCTTCCTAGTATGGGACTCCACAGCAGTGCGCATCCACGATCCCTCATGCGGGACTCGAACCCGGGACCTTCGGTCTCGCGCGCGAATGCTTCGCCTCTAGATCACAGAGCTGGCATCCAACTGTGTTAATGTCGAACTTTAATCGACCCATATTTTGAATATTAAACCAAGTAACTGTTGACGACAATTTCTTATTTTCTGTTATTATATTACATTCTAGTTTTATATACTGTCTGGTTCATAATAGAGTAGTCAGACTACATTATGGTTGTCTTTGGAATCGTCTGTCAATAACATCGCTGGTCACATGCTCTAAATTTGGCAATTCTGGTCATGATCAAATGTCGTGGGAGACAAAAATAGTACGGACTAGTCAATAATATATAGAGATGAGTAAAATAAGCACTACAAACAGTAGTTTTAAAATTTAGTATATATGATCAGATCATTGTCTACATTTGAATAAAAGAATAGTCAACATTTTTAGTCAAATGATTGATACTGATACCAAGATAATCTGGCGTGAACGCCAGAGCTAAATCCATTTAGTAGTCTGTTCAATTTCACTAGGATAGAAAGTAGATAAGAGAACAGATTTCTATGGTTTCAACAAGGTAACGGTTATTATTACGCTGTCTAAGCAGTTCACGAAAAAAACGTACCGCACTATATTAACAGCCTAATTACTATTTCAACATTCTCGATTTGCTTATTGTTACTTTCTCCATATCATATTTTCATCGTCTTTAGTGTAAAGTATTAATATTAACAAGTAATTTTAGGCAATATAAAACTTCTACATGCCTTTAAATAGATAAAAATACATGCTATTGCTCCATTCTATACTTATCATCTCGATATTTATTACACAATTTGGCCCATTACAATATCAGTATGAAAGTTTCCCAATGAGTTGGAAAAATATTCGATGGCTCGTATGAACTTTATTCATGTGTATCTAGTACGTATTATTCCCGTGGATATAATGAAAATTCATAAAAATATCATAGCGTAACACTAATTTATTAATTCCAAATTTGAAATCAAAAAGACTTAATGAACAACGGTTACTCCACTGAATTTGAAACATATATTGATTTTGTAAATTTCTTCCAAGTGGTGAACTGTTCTCAAGTAAAGTGATGAATTTTAACTGTTTGTTTGTAAGCAGATAGAGTAGTTTTAGTCATTCATTCAACGCCATTGATACTGTCAAAGAATTTCACGCCATCCACAGATTTGTTTTTATTTAAATTGTGACCACAATTTAATCTTAGCAGATCGAGTAATTAAGAACATCACGTGGACGACCGGGAAATTACTGGTACAAAAGTATGTTAATGCATGTGTGTATACTTAGTAGTCTACACAAAGTCAGTAGTTATAGTCAATTTCATCTAACATACATCGGAAGCACGATAATATACAAAATAAAATTAAGATAAACTATACTTATGACAAGTTATTTCCGTAATTTAGTGGTTTATAATCTCTTATCGTTGTAAAATGTATTTACAAGAATTCCTGGAATTCTAATGAAGTCGGTGTAGATTTACTACGTTGGAAATTAGACAGGTACTATCAATAAAAATGGATGATGGTTATCCAACATCATGAGCAAACTGAATTGGAAATGTAAACTACTGAGTGACAGCTTGATAATAATCATTTGAGATGTCTACCATTAAGTGAGTATTATTTATAAAACCAGTCCACAAAAATCTGTTTATATAGGTTGAAAAGGCTTCTGTAGTAACTAATCAGAGCAGTAAACACGCAAATAAAAATAGATGGATTTTTAGATAATATTATTCTGTTAGTTGTCAACATCACGTCTGTATATTTTTTAAAATGAACTACCACTCACATAGTTATAGAGTTATGAAGACACATCCCATTATCAAGAAACAAATTATTGATAATCGAGTATAAACTCTATCGAAAGCGACAAACAAGATTCAAATATACTCCAACGACATTTTTTTAAGGATTACTATTCATCTCAAAGATCAATACTGTGTGACTGATTGTTGGTAGATGCAAAAATTATGAAGTATATTATAAGACAAATTCCGAATTCTGCACGTCTCTATTTAGTGCATTATAGTAAATCATTGAATATAGTTCTAAAAATCCAAACTTAATACATCCTATATTGAACAAAAGATTTTTTAATAAATGTAAAGCAGAGAACAGTGTGCAAACTTATGTATTATTTTAATTAATTAGTATGTTTCTTTCATTCAAGTCGATTCAAAATAGAATATGGTCAGGCTAATAAAATTAGTGGTCGATCGTAATAATGCTGTTCACTTATAAAAAACAAATTATTATTCGTCAATACTAATATAATGCATTATTAATTAATGACTGACTTTATTAGGTAGTAATTAGAAAAAGAAACTGGTGATTTATAACATATTTGTAGCAATATATCTAAAACTATTTATACTGCATCACTTAGCAGATGAAGAGCAGTTTTGATTAATTCGTCATTTACATTTTATGGGAAAGTGTAATTGCGTAAGTAAGTAAACACACAAAAATTATAAATGAGCCATTCAGATGTAAGCAAGCTAGTACAATTTTTCAAATCAGTAAATATTAGACATAGATAATATTTAATTCACTTGGTATTGTTTAACTTGAAACTTTCCACTGATGTTTTAGGATTGAAATTGATCAGTCTCTTATTGGCATATGTGCATACTGTGCGTATGCATATGCCTCGATATTGCCTTAATTTACAAGCATTATAAGCAAAGATGGATAATATCTGTTTGAACAAAAATACTGGAACATTTAGTCTGATTGCAGTGGAATATCATAATAGAGAACAGAGAGAGAGAGATTTCTCCACAATAACATTTTGAAGTTGTAAAGTAACTTTAATTGGGATTCTACACTTATGATTACATCAACAACGGTTATATTAACACCAATTGATTTATCAATTATTATACCTGATATGTTTTATAAATGTACCCATCTAACCAACAGTTTGGTGTCTTTTATCAATTTGGAGAATTAGTCAGTTACACATTCTTAGGATTAAAATCAGTTTAAGTATTCTAATATGCATATCAAATGAAGACAGAATTATTCAGTATTACGAAAATCCATAAGTTAACAATCGAAAAGTATATATCGTTGTTTTTAAAGCACTGGAAATATTTGTCTGTAAATATGTTGATATATCAAAAATAGTAGAATTTGTTAGTAAATAACAATACGAAGAAAACAACTGAAATAAATAGAAACAAAATAATAAACAAGCAAACAGACAAAAATATATGATTAACAATTTAAAATGATAATTACAAGTGTAAATTGGAAGACTAGAAAAGAAATAAAGGATATTAAAGGTAAGAAAAGCATGAAAACGCTACTCAAGAATAAAGATTTAAGTTATTTACTTTGTTCTAACAAAAAAAATAATAATAATTTGCTCATTAATATCACAGATTGTGGTCTTTTTTTCGAAATACTACTAACCGGGTGATGTGTAATACGGTAGCAAACGTGTAGACACACATATGCAACAAACCAGGCTTTTTTTTTAGTAAAACACTTACAAATGTACACAAAAAGCACAAATCCAGTGATAAATTAGCTGAAAGTTACGATCATCATTGTTATCATGTGAATAATTAATTTGTTTTATCCTAGGAATTATACTAAACAAATGGTTATCTATTTCCTGTGATAAAAAAGCAACAAACAAATGAGTAAAAATTCGGATATGTGCGTTTCCTTCACAAATGTTCGCGTGGTAACCAAGATTTTATAAGATGATAATGTTTCATACGAACTTTAGAATAATCCTAAAAAAAAACAATAAATATAAAAACAGATTAGAATATTTCAATAATTAGAAGGATAATCATGTATTGTATGGAAGCCCTCTATCTCAAAGCGGAGATTATTTTGTTCACCGTTTTGTCATTGACTATTTGCAAAAGTGAATTGGAAAATTTGCATAATAATACGTACATAATGTATTACAGTTTAATACGTATTTTTCAAGTGAGAACCGTTACATTCAAAATTCGATTCCCCAATACCATAATGTGATGTCTCAAATCATGTAGCAACATATATTTTGAAGTTCCCAAAACGCTCAACAGAACATTTCAAATCTGATTATAACTCAAGGCTTCTTTTGGTTATCGTCGACGTAAAAAAATGAATAGATCTACTTGGTCAAAATTAATTCAGATAACAGTCTGGTCACTAAGACAGCATGTTTTATCAGATAAAAAAGGTTGACATTTTAAACAATAGCTGAAAAACAATACTCAGTGACTGAAGTACTGTGGTGTTTGAATTAACTAATGATTCTTTTGTACTTGTTGAATGCTCGATTTCGAGTTCTAAATACAGTACATTCGTTGTGCCTGTGTCTTCTTAATTCAATTGCGTCAATCCTTTAATTCCTAATTCATACGATAATTAGAATACTATATTGGCGTCGCGATGGAGCCTGCAATGGAAAAGTTAGATATTCATTCAACTTCAGAAGCTTTTGAAGATTACTTTGAAAGGTTCGAAATCTGGGCTATGACTAAGGAAGATGATGAGGATGTTAATATTGTGGCACACTTCCTCACATTCATTGGAAAAGAAGCATACAGCTTATTAAGAACTCTGGCTATGCCGGAAAAACCCATTTCGCTTTCTTATACAGCTCTCAAGGATCTACTGCTAGACTATGCTCAGTATACAAATTTCAAATGTCGTAAAGGAGGAAGATTTCGTAAAATGATTCATGAGGATATAAAAAAGTCCACTACATTACTACGTCATCTCAACCTAGTGCATACTCAAGGTTATGCAGATAATTCATTGAATTTGGATGCAGTTCACGAGGATGGGGACAAGTTTGGTCAGTGTTTGTCCTGTTGCAAGTTCCACTCTTCTAATTCATGTAAATTTCATAATTCTAAATGCTTCAAATGTCGTGATATTGGACAAGTTCAGTCAGTTTGTAATGCTAATGTTCATCTTACTGCAATTAATATTAAGTCTTGTAATTCTGATTCTACTGAGTCGAGTATTCATGACGATCATTTATCTTTATCAACGATTTCAAAAGACAATGCAGAGTCATATGACAGTTCAGAGTTAGATGAAATCCAGAATTCTTGTGAGACAACAGTTCCTAATCAACCGATTTATCAGAATTCTCATGCTATTGTACCAGGTATGACTTTTCCTAATGATTCACATATTTCTAATGAAATTACTTGCAATTCTGAGGAAAATATGTTAAATGAACCTAATCATGATCGAAAACCTGATGTGGTTTGGATAGATGCTGATTTTTCTAAAGATCCATTACTGTGCAATGACAGTCCTGATGAGTTTCATGAGAATATTTCAGAAGAATCAAATCCTGATGTCATATCATATATTATCTCTCCTAATAATGCATTTGATCCTTGTGAAAAACCTGCTCAATGCGAAGCACGAGTACTAAGTGTTCTCGAGTTTGATTATATTTCCGATGATTTCATATCAACTGCTGTTTACCCTTATCACAAAAACAGTTCTAATGTTTACTCTAAACAATGTGAGAAATATGTTTTAAATGAAGCCACATTATTCATAACCTGGGGATATAAAGATCCAACATTATTTCGTGGGGGAGGATAGTGTTGAAAAATCTATGGTTGAAATTCTAGATATTAATGATTTCAGTACAAAACCAATATGCTGATTGTATACAATTCCAGGTGAATACTACAAAGTTTTTTATCTTATACAATGTCGGACAGACTCAGGATGAACTTAACAAGAAGACGTACAACCGATTACAAACACTCATACTTCTATTTAAGCTGTGGCGGATGTGGTGTTTGAATTAACTAATGATTCTTTTGTACTTGTTGAATGCTCGATTTCGAATTCTAAATACAGTACATTCGTTGTGCCTGTGTCTTCTTAATTCAATTGCGTTAATCCTTTAATTCCTAATTCATACGATAATTAGAATACTATAAGTACACTGATAGCGTTTCGGTTACGGCTTATCATTATAGTGAGTAACTAGTTAGTTCAATTGAATTTTTTTCACTAACGTCGGAGTAATCCATATGACAAATTGTATCCTGAAGATTTAGTGTATGGTAATAAAGAAATATAATTACAGAAATAGACATCCCTGTATGAAAATAGTTAATATCTATGAGAGTGAGGTGAAGGATTAGTATAATACAAGAATAACGAACCAACAGAGAAAAAGCATCTTTGCTCTTAGTAAAACCGATAGATGGCTGCTGTAAAGAATTTTGTCAAAAAGACAAAATTCTAAATATAGCAAAAAGAAAGTAGTTTACGGAGTTCAAATACCCCAACAGTTTTGTATTTCACCTGAAGTCGAATTTGATTGACGAAATAGAGAGGTAACTGTTTTGAACCATATCACATATGGCAAATATTTTCTCACCAATGTCGTTATTATTCTCGTTCAAATAAATATTCTTACGAGTTAGCGCTATCTCAGATATGAACATATGCATAAACAACGTACTCCTAAAAGATACTGAAAGAATTTGATTAAACTAGTAAAGACAATTCACATCAGAACTGTTGAATAACTGTGAGTAGACAACTTACTATCTTAAGAGCCAAGTTGATAAAACCACTAAATTAGAAGGTTAACTAGTTAAAAATTAAACATAAAAACAGACTGATACTTACAACTAAGTTGTTCAGTGAATAATCAAATGATTGATTCCCATTACATAGCACCAAAAGTATAACAATGATACTTAACATAAAGTGTGCTTCATTCAATACGAATTATCAAATGTAACAATGACTAATCACCTGAAGATGTATAACATCTACCCCATCTCATATTCTTGATATGACTAATCTCTGCCTCTTATATACAGGACAATAAATTATCTTAAAATGCAAGGAATACACTTTCACAGATTGAAATCATAAGTCAAGTGAAGCTAGATCACCATGGGAAACCTGGACGGCCGTTTCGTCCTAATATGGGACGCCTCAGCAGTGCGCATCCACGATCCCACACCCAGCGGGATTCGGACCCAAGACCTGCCGGTTTCGCGCGCGAGCACTTAACCACTAGACCACTGAGCCGGCATCCAACGGTGTTAATGTCTAACTTCGACCAATCCACGAAGTTGCGCCACCGTACACCATTGTCTTCAGTGAGCTGATATCTCACAACAGACCTGGTTGAACTCCACTGGTCACGGCTTCTCACTAGAACTCCAGGAGTACTACTAGGACGAAACGGCCATCCAGTGCTTCCAGGTTTTCCATGGTGGTCTAGCTTCAATTGTCTCATGATTTCAATCCGTGAAATTTCTAAAATCTCCACAAACCCCTTCTGAGAATACACTTTCATTATTTACATGGTAAAATATACATACCATAAAATCAAACTGAATACTTGATAATTGACTTTGAACAAGTGACCATGCAGACCAAAATAAATGTGATAATAATGAACCATAGATTGTTTCAATCCATAAATTTTCATAATCACAATCCTCTTCATGATGATTAGCAAATCGAACAACATTATTATTATTATGTTCATAATTATCAACACAATTGAAATTACCATTTCTTTTATTAAAATGATCATTTTCTACATTTGAATAAGTTTCAGTTAGATATGCTTTCCAAAAAAGCCTCTATATAAATACGTTTAAAAAAACAATTGATTTAATGAAATCAGACAGAATATATATGCATATACTTTTTTCGAAAATGTTATACGAAAGTGTTTAACTCTAGTCAATAACTAAACGAACTCTATTTAAGAAAGTAATGATAAATCATTTGGAATTCATCAGTTAAATCACACAGTATGACTTGTGTGTTATTACTAAATACAAACTGTACTGGACTATTCAATGAGATTATGTTGAAAAAAAAGTTGATCCATGGTTATTATGAGATTATAATTATTAATACAATAAATATTCTAGTATAGAAAGAATGCTACTACATATACACTATACATCAATCATATTCCGATTATTCACATACTACATTAAGTAGTACCTAAACAATAAACACGGTGTTAACATTTACATTCTATCGGATTTATCACTTATTAATACCATACATATAAATCAATAACATTAGATGTTGGGTTAGTAATCTAAAGAAACATTCCGTCACAATTTTACAAGTCGAGATACCATAGAGAAAAATATTTCCAACTGTAATAAATTCTTTAAGTTATGACTCATCCAAAGTGACATCATAAATTACATTTAACAATAAGTGGTACACAAATAAACAAATAAATGCATCAGATTAGAAAAATCAATGGTATTTGTTTATTTATATTGAGATCATGAACCGATCAATGTTAGACCACCACTGGAAACCTGGGAGCACTAGATGTTCGTGTCGTTCAAGTATGGGACTCCTCCACAATGCGCAGGGATCGTACCCAGGACGTTCGGTCACGCGTGAACGGTTAACCATTAGACCACAGAGCCGGCATCCAAAGGTGTTAGTGTCTAACTTAAATCAATCCACTATATTGTGCAACCATTTTCAATTTTCTTCGGTGGATAACTGCCTCAAACTAGACACGATTGGACTATACTGGTCACGACTTCTCAATAGAACTCCGAGAATTACCGCTTGAAGGTAGTCACTAGTGAACACATGATGGCGATGAGTATAGAGTTGTGGAGCTTGTTGAATTTTTGTTGAGATTATGGGCTGATCAATGTTAGTTTTATTGTTAACAAAGTGAGAATATAAGTTCCGAAAAACGTCTTAATTGAAAGTTTCCTACAATAATTTTTTGAAACGATGGTTTACATTATGGACTAGATTTATCTAGAAAATCGCGTAACCATTTATTGTACAGCTGTTTTATTTTAGTAAGATTTTGTTTAGCCGTACGTAACGATGAACCTAACAGAGATAGAGCCCAACACTATCATACTTTACAAAGTGCATGTTTTGTTTTAGATAGTATGCTAAAAACTGAATATATTGCGCTATTATCACTCACTGCCATAGAGGATACCTGTCTAGTTCCCATCTCAATTTCAGTTTTCTATAAAATGAATTACTGATACCTTTAATGATTGATTACTGAGCAGTGATAAATTGTTATTGAGTAGTCTTTAGTATTGATCGAATTTTATCGAATACCGACATCTCTTAGTTGTTTACGATATAAAAATCTAAACAAATGGAGTAATATTTATCAGATGCATAGGTGAACAACTCAGTCTAAATGTCCACACATATTTGCATTCATCAGTAACCTTTTTTGAACAACATTCAGAACCATAGAAAAAAGTTACCATTGGAAAATGATATTCCACCTCACAGATAGCTTACATCATTGTGATTTTTCTATACATATCTAACGGGACGCTTAGTTGTTTCAGAAATAAAATAAACCAATGAAGAGATAGAGTGCTAATATTTGGTAGGGACTACTTTTCCTTTTTTTAAAAAGTACAATTTAGGAAAGATACATTAATAATTGAACAACACTGGCAAACCAAAAATAACTAACTTGTTTTGAACGATCTGGGTAATTTTCAATGTTGTGAAAATAATATGGTTGATCAGGGTTCGTGTAATCATAACACCACTCATTAAAATGATTCCCAACATCAAAAGCACTGTAAAAAAGGAAAGACACATAAAAAATGGATCATCTGAGAGCAAAATATCACGGAATAATCAAGAACTAAAATAAACAAGGTTAAGAATCATTTAAATGAAGAATTTAATGTTCAATGGGATTCCCTCAATTTAGATTTCAAAGATTATTAAAAATGTTGCTTCAAAAGTATGTTTAATGTAAATGATGTAGTATTTGGTTACATATGAACTAACCAAAAAATTCTTACGGATCACAATGTCTGAGGTTTATTTTCTTAAGATTGGTATATAATTTTAAGTGTTGGACATAGTAAAAAACATAAAAATTATGAAGACATGTGAGTTTCTTTAGCAAAGTATAGGTCATAAGCGTTACATACAGAAATTTAATAAGCTAATCGATTCAATTATCAGGATATGAAAATTGATTTTTGAAAATCGTAAAAAGTTGGGTCAAAATTATTAGCGATAAATATCAAGAAATGATAATAAATTATTGTATTTCATTTGACTAAAAATGCATCCTTTTGATCATACTAATTACTCCGTACTTGTTAAGATAGTTAATCACGTTCATTCTTTATACACTTGTGACCCGGCCCATTTGTCTACTTAACTTATTAAACAGGTGGATGATCTAAGTCCATTCGACAACCGATAACTTTTCCACACAACACTACGATTAGTCGCTAGATCAACTGAATCCCTATGTCATTGCTACAACAATCCATACAACATACAATTCGACATCTAATATTTTTTGCACTATCCAGACCTTACACATCTGATATGCTCGTTATAGTTGGAAATAGATCGATTCCTGAGATATTTCGCATTAGACTTTTAGTATCACGTTGACAGGTTATGTAAGGTGATTTAGTCTAAAATGTTTATAAAGTTAGTCAAGTAAACTTATTCCCTTATATTTATAAAAATGTGTATGGTTCAAAATAGTTCATAAGCTCAGTAATAAAATCAGACAACATTGGTTAAGTACTTGAAAGCTACGTAATGTAGTAGAGTGGATTATATTTCACTTCATTATAAATAAGACAACTGACAAGGCAGTTGGAGTATCAACGATCGGTCTTTGTTTGGCTGCACTGAAATCCTGTTAATTTAAGCGCATACATTTATTGTAATCAGATAAAAGGACTGTTGGAATGAAACAATCAGAAGTATATATTTTATTAATCCCTTTACCTAGACTTAGTAATAATCAGTCGGTAGGTGACACGTGTTATTCCGAACCTGGTCAGTGAATTACTGTCAAAAATTTGGTAAACGTTGGTGATAATTAAGTTTTGTAACTCAAGAAATCTTTTTTGTAAATAAAAGCTTTATTGAGCATTACATAGTATCCCTATTTGCGTACTGGTCAGTCATCATGTCCTTAAGATGAACATTGTAAACAATGATGCAAACGATCAATCCATAAGTAGTAGGTAGAGACGAATTCAATATCGACAGAATAAACTATCCGTTAGATGTGAAAAAATTTCAATAGTTCACCTCATTTTGAAGTATATCTTGATGTTATTTTCTAGCAAAACAATGAATGATTCACACCTAAACTATCCAGTTCAAAGAATGTAACTTCACTGAAAAATTCTTCCTCAGTTAGAAATCTTCAAAATCTCGACAGCAGATGTAACAAAATTTGAACGACATAAATTGTATGTTAAGACTACGTTTTCTTTGATAAACCTAACCATAAATAGTTTAGTTTGAGTATGTTATATTATATGTCAAACTATGAAAACGTCTCCAGATAAACAGACGAAGAATTTGAGGCATAAAAGCTCATTAATAATAATAATAATAATAATAATAATAATAATAACAATAACAATAATAATAATAATAATAATAATAATAATAATAATAACAATAACAATAATAATAATAATAATAATAATAATAATAATAATAATAGGCTAACATAATGTATTCGAAGTTTAACAATTTCAATAAAACATGAAAATGTAAATTTAAAAAAAGTATAACTATGATTTCCAATTACGTACCGATAATTATAACCAGAGTATTCGAAGTCGATTGGTAGAATACGATAGACCTTATCAACTTTCGGATCATTTAAAAGAAGTAGGTTATCTATCAGAAGAAAATAAAAACAAGGTAATAATAATTTTGTATTAACATGAACAAGAAGGGCTTTAGAGTCCCCCAAATGCCCTAGTATGACCGACAGTTGGGAGATTCCTCTCTACCGATAGAAATGCTCTCATACGGCCATGTGCTTATAGCTTTTGCGGATGAAGTCCTTATCACTGCCTATACACAGCAAGGGTGTTGTTCATGAAAATGACGGAACGAGAAATCCTAGGACCAAAATTGGGTCGGTGGATATGGAGGATCTGGAAACTCTGATTCCGAACCATAAAATTATTTATGGGCTCCGGAATTCGGAGAGAACGAATGAAATGTGAACCCATTTTGATTACCAGCTACCAGGAAACTGCACATTCTGACCTTGCTTCAACGCCTTGTGTATCAGACCTCTAGATCAAGGGCTCGGAGAGTATCCTGGTAAAGAAACCACCGGCTTCAGCTAGCTCTCTGCGACAGTATTCCACTCCACACACACAAATATGATAGTTAGTAATTTCGAAAAAAGTGATTAGTACAGAAACATGTAGAATGATGAAGATAATGTTTAACTGGAAAAAATAGAAAAAAAATCAAAGCTAATGTAACAAATAAAAAATGGGATAATTCGTATGGATGTCGATTATATCGAAATGTCTTATCAACTTCAAGTTGCATCACTAAATCAGTATCAATATACATTTTGAGTTTTTTTTTATTTGAAAACATACATATTGGTACAAGAGTGCGCTAAATATATATGCGCCACACAAAACAATGAGAATTTAAAGAGAAGGAAAAAGAAAACAGGTAAGGAGCGCAAAAAAAAGAATAATAAGGAAGAGATTGGTGTAAGGTTGTGTAGTAATAATAATAGAGGTAATAATGGGGGAACGGAAAGGTACAATCAGAAGAAATCCTTCAGTTAAGGAAGATACAACCAATTTTTTTAATGAAGAAAGTAAAAGAAGGTTACAGCAGCATCGCCACTGGCTTCTATTCTGAGCCATATCTCATAACGTCTCTAGCTACTGTGTTGCACCATCTCTCGGACACTAGCTAGGGATTTGTGAAGGACCAACACAAGCCAGTCCTTTGCAGCTTCCTTTCATGCCACGACAGCATGTCATACACTGACCACCTCTCCGCTTTTTCCAACCAGTCCCAGTGTTGGCAAATAATGCACGACGTGGAATTCTCTGGGACGACATTCGAAGAACATGTCCAAGCCACCGAAGTCGGTGTTTCAAGATGGTGACACTGATTGCATTATCGTCTTTCTGCCCGAACACACGATGCCGAATCTCTGCATTACTAACATGATGTTGGCACTGGATGTCAGCAATCCTTCGGAGACAATGATGATCGAACACAGAGAGTTGTCTAACGTCCTCAACTTGGAGAGGCCAGGTTTCACAAGCGTAGAGCAAAACTGCTCTCACTGACGAGTTTATCATGCTTTCGTGTGCGGGCTGAGATACTACACGGGTGCCCAAACAGAAGCAGATGGTTTTCTTAGGGGGCTACACCCTGAGCCTTTGACTTAAAGGTCTAACCCACAAGGCTGTGGAGCATCGTGAGATGCAGTCCCATGGTAGCCGCTGACCAAGGAATTGGTTCATACGCCATTTGTTCCCTCAGGATACTGGAGCCCATGTGCACCATTGTTTTGGTTTGGGATCCGGTTAAAGCGCCTGACATTCGCTTTTCGTCCTCTCATTTTCGTAAACAACACCCCCGCCACGAGAAGGCAGTGAGTAGGACTTCCCTGGCAGAGGCTGTATACGCGTGACCGTGTGAGAGTATTTCGAGAAGGAGGGCGGACCCACCCCGCTCTCGGAGTGAAGATAGTTGTGATAATTAATGTGAAGGAATAGAGCTTACTTATTTAAGTACATGACTTGGATTGTGCTTCAATTCATCTACATTGGATTAGACTACCTTATATTTACAACTAGACGATACGGAAAAAAAGTGGGCTTCGAAGCCAAATAAAGAAGAAAGTATGTTTGATCACTGATATGAACAAAACAATGCAAAATTTAATGCTTATGAGTGGTTAGATTTCTTAGATGATAGGAAGGTAAAAAGAGCTTATAAAGAGAGAGGAAAAAGACATTAACTTTAACTTGTGGCGAAATGAAATGAGTTTCGAGAATTTTACGGATAAAAAGGAGTCAGATAAGAAACAAGATTGTAGAGAAAATAATAGCTGACAAACAAATTACAAATATTATTTCACTAGAGAATACGATGACTTAAATAAGACGGAACAATGTTCTATGAGACATGTTATCAAGCATTTTCACTTTGAAAGAATAAAAACACAATTTTTTATTTGGCAATAATTGTTCCATATTTTTTCCACATTTTATATGTGAAAGGATTATTGAAATTCATTTTAGCAAATGAAACGCCACTGCCAGTAGAGAAGTGGCTTATTGCTTAAACCATCAGCTTTAAAACTATAGGTACCGGGTTCAAACCTCGCATAACCATGGGTTTAAGGATCTGGGCATTATCACTTGAATTTTTACACAAAAGTGTGACTCTTAAAGCTGAGTAGTCAAAGATACACGTAGTAAATGAATTACATGAACAGTTAGGTGTTGTAAAGTATCCAAAAGGAAATCCTGCTCGGCCTACGTTTCATTTTAGTTGGTACTCGACAACAAGGGGTGCTTGTAGTTTAGAGACGACAGATGCAACCAGTGGGATTCGAACTCCTGCCATCCAGCTTCACAACTTGAGACGTTACTACTTAGACAGTTGAATTACGAGTAACTTTCTTTAGAACTGAGACACAATTAATTGACAGCTAAATAGTAGTGGTCAACATCATGTTCGCCCAGTCCCTCAGTACAGACTGACTTCTGTCAATCAGATTGCAGTACGGTCACTAGTCTAGTTAGCATTATTTACTACCAGTAACACATTTATAATCAAAGGTCAGTTGCGGCACGAATACCTAATCGGTACTACTATTGTAGGAGTCTTGTGTTATCGTATTAGGTTTCTGAATCCCCTCACATTACAGTTAACTTTTCGGTAAAAATGAATACCTTTAGGTACTACATCTTTCATTTAAAATAATGAAATGTTAAACATAAAAACTGATGGGCTATTTATTAATGTGAGAAGTTTTAGCATGTAAAACAGTAAGATTACTAAAATTTGCAATGTAACATTTAGAGGAAGGAAGCGAGAAAAACAAGCAAGTCAAAACAATAACAAATATGATTCAAAAAAATAATTCCTCTCAGAAAAGCAAGATTTCTAGAAAATACCACAAGATATAAACGGTAATAACAAGAAATACAGCTTAACTCAGATGAGATTTATAGCTGTATTGTAAGTTATGTTTTACGATGAAGTCACGCAGTTGTTGTTCACACACCCCACATACAGACAAAGGGATTATTTATATATGAACTATATTATAATAATGGTGAAACATAAATCTAAATAGTTTAACGCCAAATTTTCGGATAAACTTTTTTCCATCTAATCTCGTGACACTAGAATAGTAGCGTAGTTGGATTAAATGTTTTTGTTAGTCTTACTTTGATCAACAAAATTCAGTAGTGTTGTTAGCTTTTTTAGGTTCTGTGTTTATGACGTAGTTAACTCATGTAAATCACAACTCATAGAAAAAAGAATATGGATGTTTTTGGTTGCTATTTTTAATATTTGCAAATTATTTACAATTTCCGCCGATGAATTCGACATATCTCATAAGTGGAGCTCGATTGTACGGAGCATAAATAAGGAACGCAACGCAAACAACGGAAGATGTTCAATAATATTGTGCATCGATTGAAGTTAGACTCGTACGATATCGGATACCGGCCCATTGATTTGAAGGTTAAGCGTTCGCATACGAAACCAAACGCCCTAGGTTTGATCGCCTCTGGTAAGGTCTTGGGTGCACACTGCTAACGAGCTCCACGCTAAAACAAAACACATGTCCAGTGCTTCCTAGAATTCAGTGGTTGTTTAATTGATATTGGTTTGTGATTTCAACAAAATCCTCACTATAAAATTGCATGTTCGAACTCTACCTCATCAAGTTTGGTTTAGACAACTGGACAGTATCACTAGCCCCATAATAACAATGTCTAGGTCAATCCTGATTGTTTTAGCCTGAACGTGAGTTGAATAAACTCACGAGAAACTCATATATTTTAGCATCATATACTGCAAGTGAGACGTATTAAATCCTAAAAAACGGTGAAATCCATCTTCACAAAGAAATTTAATAAGATGACACATAATGCTTTAAAATTCAAAAATGCAATGTCTGTATAATTAATTTTAATACAATCAAAGAAACACTGTAACTAATTTAAAAATATTCTTGAAGATTAAATAACAAACTGTTGGAATAGTCTGAATAAAATCTATTCATATAGAATACTACCTAATTAACGCCTGAAAAGAAGTATCTATTTGATTTAACTAGTGATCAGCACGTAAAAGACGTTCTTTCAGAAGCCATATCAAAATAATTAAGCTATCGTGTGTTAAAAATAAAAATTTCCGGAAGAGAATTACTTATTCAGATAACGAATTCATAAAGATAGCAGACGTATATACACAAAAATGCAGTAACTTGAAGAAGAGTCACATAATGAAATTTCTACAAAAAGAAAAATATAAGCCAACTTGAATTATAAAACTTGTGATTTACTTAAGAGAACAAGAACACTGACCTTGTGTCGAAATAAGTTTAGAAAATACAATACAACCAAAAGAATTTAAATAAAACAATATTAGTGAAGTCATCAAACCTGGAGACGGAAATATTCACAAAATCACCACTTCACCAAATTAAACTTTATTCAAAAACGATATCGGATGATGAGCGAAGGCTACGTTATAGTCAAATACATATATATAATCTGGTCAGTCTACGTTATCCTTTACGAAGCTAGACTGGAAGGTGCTGTCTTTAACATATCAGATATCCTTTGATGAATGATTTAGGTAACTAGTTCCGTAAGAGATAAGTCAGTTAGTCACTAGTAACGTGGATCCTAGAACATAAATGAGTCGGGTCCAAGTTGTCACCACACCACATGAGCAAAGCGATACCAGATTATCAAGACACATTCTAAGGCAGTACAACTAGTAACAGTATTAGTAATAGTAGAAAATGTTAGGTATATACAATGTGATTTAAGAATGAATCTATGGAATAAAAAATACAAGATAAATCTAAAACTCAAGTTTTAAGCGAAGATAAAGAGTGAATACATCTGTACTATTGTGACAAATGCGAACCCTTATCAACCATTTCCAACGATTGGTCACGATAAGCACGTGGACCATCACCAGATAATTTGAAACTATCAATCGTGGTTCAGTCTAATAGTCGATGACACAATTAATTGATCCCACATTCTGGTTTGATTCCCCACCCAACCAACCACTACATCAACAAACATACCACGTCGAGGTAAGTGATGGTTGAGAATGCACACAAATACAGATAAATAAGTATGTCTTGGCGTGATTTATTCTTTACCTCGATATGTACCTGTGAGTGATTAGTGCAAGATGGTCATTCTGAGTCATCATATAATAATTGTTGTAGTGACTAGATGATCCTTAAAAATATCATCCCTAATACACACATGGGATTTGCAACTGCTTGACTAAATTCATCAAAAGACTAAACTAATTGAATATTATTTTCCAGTCCTAAAGCATCAATGGGTAGATTCAAGTAAAACAATACTAAGTGAATTAAACTTCACCCCATTGCACAAGCAAGTGGCTATCAGGACTCAGTAGCTAAGTGGATAACGCGATTGCGTTTGAAGCGAACGGTACTGAGTTCGAGTCCCAGAGTGAACATCAGCTTTGAGATGCAGGTACATCCAGCTGACGAATCCCAAACAGGACGAAACGCGCGTCCTGGATTCCACTGCTAGCCACTATCCATCTTTGTTTGTAAAGTAACGTTGAAAAAGTAAATACATTTCCAATTTCCGCAACACATTTAACACAGACTTAAAACTTATTTACAGACTAAACTTAATTGACTAAACAATTTGCTAAACTAAAAATAGCAATACAATTCTGTAAAATAAGTAAACGCTTTTAAGTGAGTGGTGGTTTATCGATTAGTAATTCTAAACAACTGTGAAAGTTATAGTTTCACATGATACACAGTTGAATACAAAATTGACTTAATAATTATGAGTTGAATCCATCAAATGGTGTATAGTCTAACGCGGTATGGTAGGAAAACATTATTATTATCGTTATTTTTAAATACAATCCATACGATGATTAAAAACATAAGAAAATCACAAACTTACTTTCTTGGAAATCATTATGGCAAAATACAATTGGGAATACTTCAGCATAATGAACTTCAAATTTTTCTCTAAATAACCACGGATTGACAACAACGAGAAAAAAGTAAAAGAAACACATTACTGATCATTGGGTAAAACATTTGTTTTAGAGATAACAAACTTGCAAAAAAATGGCATACATATTTACACAAGCTATCACACTATAACATAAACCAAGTAGGACTAAAGCATAGTGTATGCAATGTTAAGTTGATAAAACTAGTGGCTACTTGATCAACAGGACTCGGTTACCAATAAAGGAATAGATAGAAACGATACCGGTTACTATCAAATGACCAACCAACTGTAAATATTTCAGTACCACAGAAGATAGGTCGAAGCCCAGGTAGAACAGTGGGTGTCAGTCAGTCAATCAGCTACAACGTAGGACCAGTGGGTGACGTGGGCTCAAATTCCACAGGGTGAAACACTTTCTTCAAGATTACAGGTATGCGTTAGTGACAAGCGCCGGCTAGCACGAAACTTAGCCTCCAACAACCTAACAGGATTAAAGCTAGTAGCATATACACATATTAAACCTCGAAAATGACCTATCTCACAATCGCATAGCTTATCATTAAAAAAAGCTGGAAACATTGACATAAATATTTAAGCTTTCTAACAAACCAGTTTATAACTACTCAACGTATATTGATTACAATTACTTGGTTTCCATGACTAACTTTTGTACGATGAGAATAACAAACATTTGTGGATAAAATGAATTCATTTAATTTCCCATGACGTTACATCTTTACAAACAGTTAATTCCAGATATTCTTTAACACAGAATCAAAAGGCATTGCTTACTTAAGAACAACTTTTGATGATTGATAAAAAATTGATAATAACGATTCAATAGACCAATATATTATACATCATTATTTGACGCTAAAGATACGTTGACCAACCCATGAGTTTTTCATAAGGGAAACTATACCTCTGATATTACTATCTATTCTCCTCGATGATAAAATATCAAAAAAATGGAGGATACTCAACTTTATTTGTTCCAAACGCAAAATTAATTTTAAGATGAATGACGCTGAAAAATTTACTTGTCTTTTTCATGCAAGATGAATGTGTCATATATGCATCGGCTATATGAAGCCAGCTCATTGATTTTAATGAACAATAAGACCATTTTCTAACTTTCCATTAACACGTTGCCCAAGAAAGTTTTTGATAAGCCCGAGTGAACTGTTTAAAAGGGCATTCACACAGACAACAAATACGAATGTTACTGCTACCATTATCTTATATCTCGTTGACCTTCAGGAGTATTATACTGAATACTACAGGGGAAAAAATTAAACAACTAGATGTTTCTTGTTTCAGATGTTCTTAGTTAGTACGGGACAAAATGAACATTTTAAAAACAATTAATATTTACTTTATCCAATTATATTCCTCTATGAGAGATAATTCATATACCATATTTCTAGCTTCTTCGTAAGATGGTTCCGTCAATATATGTCCATCATTAGCAAAAGAGAAACCTTTTGATTCTAATTCAGATAAAGTATTCGAAGAAAAATTTGGAGATGGACGATGTAAATGTTCAGGTGTGCTTGTCAACTGACTAAGATATTTATCAAACATTCTTATTATGAATGATGGGGTTTTTGAAAATGGCATGGATAATTTATGGAAAGAAGCCATATGCCGTGCTGCTACTTCAATAACTAGTGGAAGTTCTTGTGTAGTTAAAGGTCTGGACTGAAAAAGTTACAGCAAAAAGAGAAGAGAAAACTATAGTAATATAAAATTATGACATCAAAATGTCAGCATATTGATAAAGAATAATTATATGCGAAAATATTTATTAGATAAAGCATACACTGTACATTGAACGGATTTGGTAAAATGATCAAGAATAAAAATCCATTAAAATAGAACGAATTCATTAAACTCTGCAAATCTAGCTATTGATAACACTCTTGATTATTCACGGACGAGATATACAATAATTTTGCACACTTTGGAGAATATAAAATCTCTTTTACGAAAGCCTTACCCTCCCCTTTTCACCACATACGTGGGTCAAGAACGACTGAAATGTGTTATAAATCGTTAATTAACAATAAGCTCCTATAATTCATAGAGCTATTATTCGATCTCTACGTCGTCAGAGCAAAACATTAAACAACTTCACTAATGAAATATCAATTCGGAAGTTCCAAGAAGTGCATTACAGAAACCATTATTTAACTAACAAAAGGCAATTAGGTTCATTTTACCTCGATAAATTCTTCAATTCGTCCACCGGGAAATACACCATGAAGTTTAGGCCCAATCCTTTTTTCCGAAAGTAATGCAAAATTAACTGAATCAGAGATAATCGAGTCTGTACAACTTCTCAATACTTCACCATATACTCGAATAAGTACTTTACGTGGTTCATTTTCCGAAGAAATAATATCATTATTTAAATATCCAATATATAGATAATTGCTTAGTCCACAACTCCTAAAATGAAAATAATCTAATTAAATAGTTGTATGGAATACAAATGTGATTATATTAACTACGCATTTGACAAAGTGATCAATACATTTTTCACATCAATTAAGAACAATTAGTCTCTTTAATCAATCTAAACAATGCAGTCAGAAGGCGAAGTTTATTAGAACTATGTTATGTACTAGAGCAATAAATTATGAACAATTCATGTCTACAAACAATAAATCTACCATGAACATGTTAATCTAATACTTCAGAATGGTGTGATCCATATCGTTTTACTTAATTATTTTTTATTTGTTTAATTTGACATTTACTATTTCACATATAAATAAATTAGAAAGTTTATATGTGACCGAATAGTCCAAAATTTAGTTTCTAATAAACTCTATTTTCTTATTTTATTACCTATATTATACACAATTGCTACCGTAAATTATGAAGATGATAATTTCCGAAATAATCTAAAATAGATAATTACACAGAATAGCCAATTTTCATAAAGCTTATTTAGTAGACAAATTACTCTATTTTTGAAATCAGGTTAAATATGATTGTTATGATGGACTGACTAAATTGATAAAATACTGGCAACTAACCGAATTGATTATTGTCCAACAAGATGAAACACAAATCTCAACAGAACAGAAATAACCCCCTCTTTAAACAAGTGAATTGTAAAGAAAATTAAGATCACCACTGAAAACTCCAACACACATTCAAAAAAGTACGACCATAAGTTAGTTATACGATATATGATAATCGCTGAAAAATTCCCATTATATTAAAACACAATTATATGAACGAAGAACATTCATTTCAATAGTTTCTCATCAGGTTCTATAATTATATATCCAAATTAATAATCCATAAAATTGGCCAGGTTTAAGGTAGAGTACATCATTGAGAATTGTAAGAGATGAATCAAAAATTTATATATGAAAATTAAAAGGTCAACTAGATAGGTTAAGTGTAAGTCACAACAAATGAAAAGTATCAAAAATTGTTTATCATATCAAATTAAATCGTGAATTCACTTGGTATTGCTTTACTTGAATCTTCACATTGATGTTTAGAACTGAAATTGATCAATCACTTTTTGGCATATTTGCATACTGTGCGTATTGCCTCGATATTGCCTTAATTTACAAGCGTTATAATGTTGGGATGACCAATACGAACTGTTAACTTGAATCAGTGTATAAGTGAAATGAAATTGTGAGATCAATGTTCAGAATAAATATGGTCAACACGGGGTGAGAGAGAATAATGTCATTACAAATCGAAAATTACGTAATATGTAGAATAATATGAATTAGTTAAATATAGTAGATAGGGGTGGATGCTGAATAAATTTCTCAAAAAGGTTAGCATGTGTAGTAATAATAATAATGACAATGGTAAGATGTGTGGATAGGATAAGCTAAGGATATCATCGTTCTTCTGAACGATGAAAGCTCCACGACCAAACCATCCAGCTCAGAGAACAAAACACCACCAAAATCATCCACCTGAGCTACAAATCTTCTCCACCATCTCAAGCTAAGGATATAGAAATGAACACTAATCAAGTTACGTCACCATATCATAAAACCGATTAGTAACTAGTTGGGCCCGAAGTTGGCTAGGGTAAAAGGAGCCGCTGAACATATTTCTTTTGGATACAAAGCTCCAGATTTTTTATCCCAATAGCGATTGCTTCAGCTGTTTGAAGGATTCTCAGTCTGAAGGAATTAAGTAGACTGCCGTTAACACGATATATTATTGCAAAAGATTGCTCCATGTTGGCTGTATGTCCTGTTTGAATTCAGTGATCGAAAATGGAGCTGTTGACAGTTTTAACTACACCTTTGCTTAACCACACTAAGAGGTGCTCACGAGCCCGAATGTACAAATTCCTAGAACATCTGCCAATATAACTCGCTCCACAGGGGCAGTCGAGTTGATAGATACAGAAAGAAGTGTCTAGTCTAGGCAATTTATCTTTCAACCTCGAAGTGATTGTTGGACATGTGGAAAACATTAATTGTAATTTACCTGTAATAAAAAGTTCTCTGGATTGATCCGTGTAACTTTAATCTTAACATTTCACTAGGTGCATCGCTTCTCAATTGCAAGGAGATGCAACCTAGTGAAAAAAACACTAATCGAGAGGATAATCCATGTTAGATTAGTCTATTTACCCTATACATATTTCCATTGAGCAATTTGAAGTTTTTTCTTAAAAACGTATTCCCACTCATTCAGTTGATTCCGGATTTTTAAAATTAACCAATGGTCTCCTTCACTACTTCAAGTATACAGAAAAAATAAATGTAGAGATAAAAAGATAACGGTTAGAATAACTGACATGCCCCCAAATGCCCTGGTATGGCCGAGAGCAGGGTGGGTTCGCCCTCCCTCTCGAAATGCTCTCACACGACCACGCGTATACAGCCTCTGCCAGGGTCAGTCAGTCAGCTACAACGTAGGACCAGGCACATATATGCATCGGTCTAAGTTGCCATACCTCATTAACACAACAAGATGAACACCAGATTCATAAAAAGAGTTGATTCAGAGATGGTAAGAAAGATTGCATTTAAGGACATAGTACAGGAAGAAATAATTAGTTCGTAGAAAGAAAGATATGAAACGATTTTAATCTCTCAGTTTAAGGGAAGATAGAGAGTGTATACACCGACGGCATTGTGATCGATTATGAGCCATGTCACCAAGAGTTTCCAACCATTGGTTACGATAGTCACGCGGACTCCAACCAAGTAGTCTGCATCTACCAACATGGCTCAGACTAGAAGTTAGTGACTTCAAGCACTGATGCCATGTTTTGGTTTGGCCGCCCCTAACTTTTTTTCAACCATCCCGAACACCGGTCAGCATTGGACGTCGTGGTAATCGGTGTTTGGGCATACGTAACACGTGGCCCAACCATCTCAGTCGATGAAGATTAACAACCTCATCAACTGACTTACCATTATTCCCTAATACCATGCGTCGAACCACACTATTACTTATCCGGTGATCCCAACAGATGCGAGCAATATTTCTAAGGCATCTGTGGTCAGATACTAGTTGCTTACAAGTATCTTCTACTCTTAATGACCATGTTTCGCTGCTGCAGATTAAAACAGAACGGACCACCGCGCAGTATACTCGTCCTTTTATTGATAGACGGATATCTCGCCTTCGCCATAGGTGACGTAAGTTGGCAAAAGCCAAGCGAGCTCTTCGAATCCGTGCTGAGATTTCGTCAGACACCAACCCATTTGGGCTGACCAGACTTCCAAGATAAGTGAAGTTGTCAACGCGTTCGACTACTGCTAGGGAAGTCCTACTCACTGCCTTCTCGTGGCGGGGGTGTTGTTTACGAAAATGAGAAAACGAAAAGCGAATGTCAGGCGCTTTAACCTTATCCCAAACCAAATCAATGGTGCACATGGGCTCCAGTATCCTGAGGGAACAAATGGCGTATGAACCAATTTTCGGTCACCGGCTACCATGGGGCTGCATCTCCTTACGATGCTTCACTGCCTTGTGGGTTAGACCTTTAGGTCAAAGACTCAGGGTGTGGCTCCCTAAGATAACCAACCACCTGCCTCGGTCTGGGCACCCGGGCAGTATCACAGCCCACACACAAATGATGAACTGTCTATAATTATGGAAACTACTTTTCTTGCTTCAACTAACAATCAAATGATTCAAATTATTATTATTATTATTTACTACGCCATTATTCACCCTCTTTTATTCCTACTCTGTCTACAATTATTTTTTCGACTTATACAGCAGCTCGTCTATGGTGGAAATTCGACTGTATCTAAACGTTCTCGAGTCACTGCCTGGTTGAAAATTGTATGTTACCACCGAATATGAGTACTGAAGCAGTTTTTCTGAAACCACGTGCACCATTCAAACTGGCTTCCTTCAACGTCCGCACGCTTATGCAGGTTGGATAACAGATAGGGCTGGCTATGTCTTTGGAAAGTCTTAATATCGATGTTTGCTGTCTATCCGAGACCCGTATTCAAGACTCTGGTGAAGTACTACATATTCGCTCTCCATCAGTCGCTTCAAAAAGTTTGTTCTACGTGCGCTTATCCGGAGACCCTGTGGCATCTTCGTCTGGTCTTGCTGGCGTTGGTGTCGCACTAAACGCTAGAGCTAAGGCAGCACTAATCGATTGGATCCCCATTAACATTCGGTTATGTGCTGTTAGATTAGAAAGTTCCATCAAAGTGAGAAGAAATCGGCGTGAGAAACGATGTCTTTTCGTCATCTCCGCCTATGCTCCGACAGATTGCAGTCCGGATGCAATCAAGGATACGTTTTACCACCAGTTAACTGTTCTTCTCTAGTACTACAATATCTGTCGAACGCATTTTCTGGAGAAGAACAGATAGCTGGTGATAGAATTCATCCTTGATTGCATCCGGACTGCAATCTGTCGGAGCATAGGCGGAGATGACGAAAAGACATCGTTTCTCACGCCGATTTCTTCTCACTTTGATGGAACTTTCTAATCTAACAGCACATAACCGAATGTTAATGGGGATCCAATCGATTAGTGCTGCCTTAGCTCTAGCGTTTAGTGCGACACCAACGCCAGCAAGACCAGACGAAGATGCCACAGGGTCTCCGGATAAGCGCACGTAGAACAAACTTTTTGAAGCGACTGATGGAGAGCGAATATGTAGTACTTCACCAGAGTCTTGAATACGGGTCTCGGATAGACAGCAAACATCGATATTAAGACTTTCCAAAGACATAGCCAGCCCTATCTGTTATCCAACCTGCATAAGCGTGCGGACGTTGAAGGAAGCCAGTTTGAATGGTGCACGTGGTTTCAGAAAAACTGCTTCAGTACTCATATTCGGTGGTAACATACAATTTTCAACCAGGCAGTGACTCGAGAACGTTTAGATACAGTCGAATTTCCACCATAGACGAGCTGCTGTATAAGTCGAAAAAATAATTGTAGACAGAGTAGGAATAAAAGAGGGTGAATAATGGCGTAGTAAATAATAATAATAATAATTTGAATCATTTGATTGTTAGTTGAAGCAAGAAAAGTAGTTTCCATAATTATAGACAGTTCATCATTTGTGTGTGGGCTGTGATACTGCCCGGGTGCCCAGACCGAGGCAGGTGGTTGGTTATCTTAGGGAGCCACACCCTGAGTCTTTGACCTAAAGGTCTAACCCACAAGGCAGTGAAGCATCGTAAGGAGATGCAGCCCCATGGTAGCCGGTGACCGAAAATTGGTTCATACGCCATTTGTTCCCTCAGGATACTGGAGCCCATGTGCACCATTGATTTGGTTTGGGATAAGGTTAAAGCGCCTGACATTCGCTTTTCGTTTTCTCATTTTCGTAAACAACACCCCCGCCACGAGAAGGCAGTGAGTAGGACTTCCCTGGCTGAGGCTGTATACGCGTGGTCGTGTGAGAGTATTTCGAGAGGGAAGGCGAATCCACCCCGCTCTCGGCCACACCAGGGCATTTAGGGCCCTGTTGTACCAATATTTTTGTGTTCAAATAAATAAATGCCGATAAAGCGTTTTATCATCATCAAAACATCGGATATCAAGGATGTGCAAACACTGAAATGATTAAGATTTGCGGCTCAGGTGGATGCTGTTAGTGTTGTTCAGTTCTCATAGCTGAAAGGTTTAATCGCAAAGCTGATAATGTCCAGAATGGCAATGAAAGCTCCGCAATTAAACCATCTAGCTCAAAAAACTCGACAGCAACACTATTATAATATACAGATGTTTGTGCCCTTTTGAAAAGATTCTTATATTTGGAGGAAACCATTTGATTAGATAAATATTTTTACTTCCTCATCAAATCGACCAGGTAAAATAAAACAGAATATATATATATATATATATATATATATATATATATATATATCAAGATTACACTTGGCTTACTTCGATAGCTCAACACAGAAATTATTTGTATCAGACCAGCTTCCAGAGAGAATTTTTGAGCACTGAGTTTTAAGATGACCGACTATACTTTTTGTTATTTCATCAACTTTCAAAGGAATAGAATCTGGGCATGGAACACCGTCTTGGTCATCACTAGATAATGTAAACTTGACTACAGACATAGAATTCAATCAAAACACGTAGTTACGAATTTGAAATTTTAACGTTGTAGATATGAAGAACGTTGAAGGTGAATATAATTAACCTATGTAAATCGTAGTAAGAAACATTGAAACAGTTATTTACATTGCCTAAAAATGACAAGAACTGTGGACTAGTTTGAGTATTATGCTTTTCATCGAGATTAGTAAAGTTAAATTATAATCAACAAAATAACTACCTATAAATCAGCTACACAGACCATTGAATGTACAAGTCCCTCACGAAATGCGCATGTCCTCAGGCTGAAGGAATAGCAACGCACTTGTCAATTTCTTTTTTCGCCTGTTACTCCTGATAGAGCATAGGCCACAGACCAGCATTCTCCAACCCACTCTGTCCTGAGCCTTCTTTTCTAGTTCCATACAATTCTTGTTCATTTCTCTCATGTCTATCTCCATTTCCCGGTGTAATGTGTTCTTTGGTCTTCCTCTTTTCCTTTGGCCTTGAGGATTCCATATGAGGGCTTGTCTTGTGACGCAGTTGGGTGCATTCCTCAATGTGTGTTCTATCCACTTCCAGCGCTTCTTCCTGATTTCCTCCTCCGCTGGGATCTGGTTTGTTCTCTCCCACAGTTGGTTGTTGCTAATAGTGTCCGGCCAACGGATCCGAAATATTTTGCGTAGACAACTGTTAATAAACACCTGTATTTTCTGGATGATGGCTTTCGTAGTTCTCCAGGTTTCTGCCCCATACAGTAGAACTGTCTTGACAGTTCTAATAAACTTTAATGACAATGGATATTGTTACTGATTTCGGTTTTTACGCTGTTGACTTCCTATGTAAATGTAATAGGTTTGGAGTTAATCTAATAATGTTGTTCCTTGGTACCATGTAGATCGTTTATAGTTCCAACAGAATGAACAGGTTTAAAAATATTATGACTGTCCAATGCCAACAAACCACTTTCCCACCGAAGACTTTGATCAAGACAGTGTACTTAAGGCTCTTGGCACCTTAGACATGGAAAAGTCAACGGGACCAGATGAACTACACCCCAAAATCTTGAGACATATTTCACAATATGTCGCAGCCCCAATGACGGTAATATTCACTGTCGCTTGGCCAAGGTGTGTTACCTATGGACTGCAAGGACGTAATCGTCACTTCCATACATAAAACAGGACCAAGACAACTTCCATGGAACTACCGACCTGTAAGCATTACCAGTATTGTAGTTAAAATATTGGAAAGAATAGTTAAACAGATCATAATGACATTTGTGGAAACGGATAACCTGTTAAACAGGTTATATACTACACAAACCTGAATATATATTTAAGCACAATATAATAACTGTAAAGATGGAAAAGCATACGCCCCATATTTCATTTAGAATAGAATTTTGAACACGAAACATCTGATTGCTATTACTTTAAATACTATCAAATTTCTGATGGCTCTCAAGTGATAAATTTAGGTAAATGATAAGAAAATGTATGTATAATGTAACAGACTAGTAAATATATGGTTGGTGTGTATCTATATAATCACCTACATTTAGTGGTAATTACCTTTGATATATATTAAGACATCAAACAAAGATTAACACAACTTTCTAAAGCCGGATCCTCAGATTTACAATGCAAGTGGGTACTTGTTACTTCGATCTTCAAGTTGTACATCAATGTGTAGAATATAGAGCACAATTAAGTGTATTGACATGAAGCACAAATAAGGAACTCAAAGAATAACTAACCTGTTAGTGCAACGAGCTGAGTAGAACCATGTGACAAAACGTTTAAATAACCATAAATACTAAGGACAACCTTGAAGGGTCAAACAACATCTGAGACCATAGATTCAAACTTCAAACTTCTATGAACAGACTCAGCCGATTATTGTCTCCTAAAGTCTATGTCTTGATGGCAAGAGAGCGTCTTCGACTATGTAAATGCGTGACGTTTGTTATGCTTCTCATGAAAACGCAGAGCAAAAGAAGTTGGCTGAGAATAGTAGAATTGATCCTGGTGTAATACTTGAATTAATCACTTTATGTACCGACGAGACTAAATTAAACGTCCAGGCTACTTAAAAGACTCCAGAAAAAGTCTCGTTTTAAAAAAGGTGTTGAGACTGAAAATGTTTCGTTAACTGAAGAATGTAGGTGGGAAGAGATGTCTAAATTATACCGTTTGTATTATGTCGTCCTCTAACCCTCCAGGATGCACAGGAAAAAACATGTAACCATATTTTGCCACTGGTACTTCACTTAATATTAATGTGAATGCGAAGGTATCAATATCGGTGAATAAATATTCAAAATAAATAGTTCTGAATGTCTTCGACACTGATGCTCACCTCATTAGTTTTACTGGACACACCTAGTTGAAGGTACTCGATAACGCACCCGGACCAGGTCACGAGAGAATACACAGTGCTTCGCATCCCTTGCAACCGTTAAGCAACTCAGACTAAACGCTTCTCGACATATAGGTAGCCTTCGAAACATATTTTCGATCTTCTCCATTCGTGACATCTAATTCGACTTGGCTGGCGTATTTCGGTCATAAACGTGTTAATGGTAAAGGCACTTTCAATCTCTGAACACCTGTGGCATCTCTGTATCTTTGTGCACAGTCCAATATCACAGTCAAGTCTCTTCGAAGAGGATCTCGCTTCAACAGCGTTGCATTCGCTCAGTGTCCTTTAGGGTTCAACTCCAATAGGATACGGATCAATGCTTCGGAGGTTTTCACACAACATGTTCCACTCTATGAGCAGCCCAGCCATGTGCTAATGATTTGTAAAAATGAAAGGCCATTTTAAGCAAGAGTGTATGAGATTGAAACAATTCCATGTTATGTACCCATGTGGTCTATTTTTATTTGGTCCCTAAATATATCATTTTAACGTGCTCAGGAATTTTGTGATTTTCTTACGTAGTTTGTCATGAACGACATTGTTACTCATATCTCACACTTGTTAAAGTGTGCTTGCTTTATGTGCTAATTATCCACACTTCAATTGTTTGTCACTGATTTATACATAGTTCGTTATGTGTGTAGACTGACTCACCCATCATTCATTGAGAGGAGAAGTATGCCTTCCTTGTCTCACAGTTCTTATTGTCTGTGTTCATTAATAAACGTATGAAAGATACCCAGAAAAATGCACTCTTATCTGACTCATTTTATTCTAGTACTTGTTTACGCGACTATGAACAATAATGGACTACCCAATCGACAAATTCGATCACTTTGTCACACAAAATGCAATTCAGACTATTCGCCATGCTTTTTTCGTAACCACAGTGTACGTTATGCCAAGTTCTCAAACAAGCTTAACTCGTTAATTAAGTCTTCAATTTCTGTAACATTTTACTGAACGTTAGAAAGGGTTAAGAGATTAAGAACGTTGGAATCATCCGGTCGCAAAATCCGATAGGATTTGATGATACTACAAGTATTTGGAACTCAACAACACTCTAACTAGTGACACCTCCTATAATCGAAACTTGCCAACCCGGTGAAATTAGAAATCAGGAACGAAGAGGTCCGGAGATATATTTGATAAGCCATCGATGTATTGAGAAGTAACTGGTCTAAACACACTAGCGATTGAAGGAGAATTTGAACACGGAGTTGACACTCGTGATCTGGTGCGGATGTATGGCCGAGCACCTTCAGTTAGGTAAGTCTATTAGAACTAATGTAGTCAGCATCCGTTGTCGAAGAATTACAGAGCTGTTGATTTTGAGATTTACTCACCGAAACGAATTCGGAATTCAACACAAATGACGAGAGGTAATGTAATCTGTGACGAAACATGCACTTCACGAAGAATCTATCTGGCCCTAAGTGTATCAACAAATATTGGTATTGCAAGTTCAACAACAGCGGTACTTATTTTTGATCTTTAAAATGTAGTTATTCCATGACACATTGTTCTGAAACATTTTTTGCACTATTCAGTTCATATGTTTTTATATCCATTCCCAGTTTTCTTCATTTACTCAAGGTTTATTTAACACAAAACGAATTTAAAGGTTTCCCTGTCTATTCTATGATATTTCTCTTAAACTTTTGTTGATTTGTTCACTTTGCATGAAACTAAATATTCAGAAGACGGAATTGAAATACGAGGGTTGGGATATGGTTGATAGTAAGAGAGGTAGGAAGCAGCTGAAAGAACCATCGTTGAATGTTTTCGGAGTACAATTTTTCCTTCGGTTGAATTTTGAGAATTCACTATTGTTCTGTTCAAGTAAACAAAAGTAATTAAAACAAAATCAAGTCAGAATATATAAATAATAAGATACTAGACAAGGCTGTGAAACTAAAAGTTGGTTCAAGGCTAGAGGTGGTTTTTATGTAACTGACTACTAGAACAAAGATGTGAGAAAATTATGCCTGCACCTTCGTAGAATTATGGTTTAATTCGGTATTCGTCCTACTTTAATAATAGACCCAATCCCAAAAAATGTAGATTTTTCATGATGTGATTATCTAATCTATAAGACTTTACATGGAAGTCACATCGGTGTCTACACCGACTCGCCGTACGATGATCATCAGCACTTTGGAAGAACACATTCTCGCTGGGGATAGAATAATATGTCTAATGTGGAAAGGTGTGGATTACACAAAAATTACCAAGCCTACAAGGCCGATCCATGCCATCTTTAATGTTTAACACCATTGTGGGCTTCTCTCCTTGGTAAATGTTGAGGATTGTGTGATTAAGACCAATACCGCTATACCTTCCTCCGGGTTCACGCGCATAGTATTCCTATCAATCAACTTATAGTGTGGTGCAGAAATCTAGTAGTTACGAATTATGATTTTATTGGCTTATCCTGTAAACATGTTGTAATCTGTGGAAAGCGCAGAGAATACATGACACTATTTAGCAAATAACTAAATTTAGGGTCCTCACAGGATTTCACTTGTCATAAATGTTGGTCCACCGATTATTTCGCTTACTCATAAAAACTATTATACTCAATCAGTGCAGCGAAGTGCAGTTTACAGTTGCTGATTTGCAAACAAGTGCATTGCCACATCTATCTTTTTCCTTAGTTCTGACTAAAATTCATCGGTAGTACTAACTGAGGTCCCGTGTGCCATGTTTCGTCACCTTCTGAATGTAGTTGGAAGTCCTTTGGATTTAAGTAACCGCCTTGTCCGGGATTTGTCGGGACACATACGTTTTTCCTCGGATAAATTTACAGTGACCCTCAGAAGTAAAATTTTGCCACTTGTTAACTAACATTTACAGAGCCACCTAAAGGAACCGAACTTTGACGAGGATCGGTAAACCGTTCGATATCCATTTACTCAAACGCCTGATGACTTGTCTAGAGCTCAGTCATATTTCTTTAGCCCAGCACACTAATTGATTTCCCTGTTGTCGTCATCAAGAACTGCGACTGTTTACTCTTTGTTTATATATGCACCCTTATGGCTTGTCTCGACGTTACTTGTAGAGCCAGAATGTAGCTGCTTATCAAAGCTAGGATGCGATTTACGTCATATTTGAAGCCTAAAGCATGGTGTTCATTATCAAACCATCAACCTAGAGTGAGCCCAACACTAAACAAGACAGAGGGTAAAATTATTAATTAGCAAAATTAGAGATGAGAGTGATGGTTTCAGTTCACCCATGTTTTACAGCAGGGTGTTTGGTTTGTCTCAAGCCCTTCACAATTATAGCTAACGCAAATATTCAGTGATACGAAGGTTATATTTTATGCTTGCTGCTTCATAAACTTGTGTTTCCAAACTAATACTGAGTTCGCTGTCCCAGCAAGATAATCTAACACATGTATATGCTAGGCATCATCCCAAGAACAGATGGCTAGCACGTGACACCGACGCTGCTTCATTTTTCCTCCACAGTGACGATACAAGCGCCAACGACAGATCAACTTGCGAAGATGGTCGAAACCCAACTTGTACGCACCAGCTTAATGCAAATGTATACAGTCAAACAAGTACTAATAGTTTCAATACGCACCTCTAATCACAAATGATGAGTAAAATATCACAATATTTATATTTTTATTTGTGTATCTAACTAGTACAATCAGCCGTTAGTTTCTAAATTTAGCAAACACTATACTCCCGTATTTCTCCTGTAATTTCAGACCAGATCCACCTTGTCAAACTTCATAGGACACTGAACTTAGTTCCTGTTGTTAGGATAGTCGGAAAAAGAGACCAATAATTATCATGTTAATTTCAATGGTGTCCTTGGACTTTAAATGTACATTTCCTATTGGTCGATATTTGTTCACTTGTTGAATATTGTACAAAATGTTGTTTCCTATTTTATGGTACGATGTGGTTTGTTTGCTTGGTATATAAATAGAGTATGTTTGAAATACAATGATTCACAACCCAGAGGCTGTGACTTGTGTTCTTGACTCAACTGGCTAGGACAGACAGCGAGGCAGGGCCAATCAGGGCACTAGGTCGTCCGTACGTGTTTTCCGTGTCACTGTCACAGATCGCGATCGATAATAACGCTGCGTATCTAAAACCTGCAGTCACCCACACCCGTTACAACACCTGTAATCCATCCAAAGTATCTTTAATAGTACTTCAGATTACTGACTGTAACTATATGCTATCTACAGGGTTACTGTGTAGTTTGACATCGAGTCGCGGTTGACTATGATCACCACTACAGGAAGACTACGTGTCAGTTAACCGATAAGATCCCCCTTAAGCCAAATATCAGAAGGCAGTTGATGGCTGTAGTCGCGATGTATTCGTTGACGATCTCGTGGTATCGAAAGAATACCGAGATCGTGCCAGGTTACAAGTGTGGTTAC